GGCCAAAGCCAACACCCGCTCGGTGACCCGGCGCTGGGTCGCTGCGCGGCGGCGACCAGTCGCCGCAGGGCCGCTGGTGTTAGGTGAAGACCAAGGGTGGCGGCCCGGGGGTAAGGAAGACTGGTTGTGGTATTTATGCTAATGGAAGGGGAGCGGCGTCGCGCCAGTCGATGCGTCGTGGTGGCGTGCGTCACGTAACGGAAGCTAGCCCACCAGAAAAGCGCTTTGAATTGCATATGCAAAGATATGCAGTGTACTCTCTTGTGCTGTATGGTGCCTTTCTCTTTGCTTCTCCTTTCTTTTCACTCTTTGCGCGGCGGTAATTCCGCGAAGTGTTGTCTTCGACGCGAGCCCAACGGGAGGCGAGCGCCACCTGGTAGTACATGCGTTACTGCAGCCTTGTATTGCATAGCGTTACGGCCGAAGTATAAATATTTCAGGTGTAATAGATGTGACGCTGAAGCCGAGAAAATCGCGCGTGAAATCAGACCTCCGCTCCAAGGACAAATGAAGTCGGGTTCCTTTTTGGCAGGCCCACTCGCTACAAATGCACATGGCTTACCCTGCGTAATGATGGGACGCAAGCGGCTGTGCATACCTCTCATAGCTGATTACCCAGCCGGGACAGCTGCTGAGGTGCTGAAGGGGGAATATCGACGCCGCTCCCAGCGGCCTGTGGTCGTGACCCTGCTGGAGCCGCTGATCGTGACCATGTGCGGGAGCCGTGACTGGCGACCCCGGCCGTGGAGCCGGCCGTGCCCGCCCAGGTCGGCGGTCGCCAGGGGTGCGGTGCGAACGCCGTGCTGACGGGCTGTGAACACGTGGCAGCGGCTGGCCGGCCGGGAAGCCGCAGCGGGCAGGGAAGCCGGCCGAGTGTCGTCGCGGGGTGCTGGACGAAAGCCCGGCAGCGTCCGGCGCCAGCGCGTGCCGTGCCGGCACAGGTCAACGCGGGGTGGATACAGAGCACGGGTAGGACTGCGCCGAGAATAAGAATGCGCATCTGGCGGTCATAGTCTGCAGCACATTGTTGAGGTCGTCATGGGAAGTCATCCTTTTTCGCCAGAAGTGGCAGCTCAATTTAGGTTTTTAGGAGCAGGTAATTTGCTGCCTACACAACTTTTTTACGTCACATGTTTGCAGAAATCCAGCCACCAATCTTTTGTGGTGTATTCACATACAAACTTGCTGCACGCTCTATGGACTCACATGTTTTAGCTCTTTTGCCAGAAGTTTTCTATTTACTCTGCAAAAAGGCAGTCTCACGGGCCATTATGGGAGGGAATCATTTATGTAATACCGGTGCTTTCCTTTTGTTTCGTACCGTTCCAGTACTTTTACTCTGTCAGCGGCTTAGTTGAAAAGCCAGAGAAAACGCGCGAAAGTGACCATACCTGACATGGCCGGGATTTTTTGGGGCCAAAAACCTGCCGTTCATAGTAATGTCGTTTACGTTGTAGGGGGGACGAAAAGGGGAGCTTTTATTAAGTACGTTAGATTCATGTCATCGACGTAACTTGGATGCAAATTTTCGGGGAGCTCGAAGTTCCCGGAACCAGATTTACAAGACTGCGCAGAGCAGCAAGACAAAATAAATCCATTGGTTTGCGGGGTTGGCTTCACGTTTACACCACAAGCTCTAAACTACAACAGCTCATTGATGTGCGGTCACTGGTGCTGGCCGCCTGCCATCGCTGAACTGGCCCAGTCACTCCATCCTCTCTCGTCGTCTCATCTGGCCCCCGCATCCCACCGGCCCGGTGGCCGCCGCGCGGCCAGGTGACCCGGCGGCGCCGCGCCGACCTCTGACCTCTGGCAGCGCCGGCGGCGGTCGTTACCCGAGACCGTGCTGCAGGCCGTAATGGTGAGAGCGTTCGGGGCCGCCGACGCCGCCGGCGGCGGCCAGGTCGCGGCTGGGGATGGCGGGGGGGGGGGGGGGGGGAGGGCCGCCGCAGGCGACGGCTGAGAGACGCAGCGACGTTGCGTCTCGTTAGAGAAGCGCCTGGTGATAGTCATTTGTGGGATGCGTGGATGTGAACTTTGCCTCGGCTGGGAACGGGGACGGTTGCATAGTGTGAAATATGGCGCGAGCCAGCTCGTCATGGCATTGCTGGTTGGTTGCTAGAGATGTTTATTGCTTGGATCTTGGCCAACATTCCGTAATGTGATTTTACTAACGCTGTTTGGAAATGTGTAACAAACAAATCTGCTTGGCATGCTCCTCCAACGCCTCACCGTATCCACCGTGGATCACAAGGGTCAGCGATACGGAATACTCCAAGAAGTCATGGGGAAGAAGTCGGGAACAATAAGCTGTCTTTCGCCGAACGATTCTGCAGTCGTGTCAAACTGCGTCGTGAAGGCTGACGTTTCGGTCCTCCGCCAGTTCTTTGCAGAGCCGCTTCCTCGCACCCTCGCCAGCTCGTTCCCCCCCCCCCCCCCCATTTTCTCCAGCATGGCTCGGCCCGGACTGTCTCGGCCCGGCCCGGCCCGGCCCAGCTCG